GGCCAGCGGTCCCGCGGGCGCCCGGCCGTGCGAGTCGTGGAAGGACTCGTCGCCCGCGTCGTTGCGCAGCTGGACGACGCCGCCGACGGAGCCCAGCGCCGCCTCGCCGCCCAGGAGGTCGCGCACGAGGCGGCAGAAGCGGACGCGCGCGTCGCAGTCGGACGGCAGCAGCTCGTGGCGGCTCATGAAGTGCATCGTGTCGCACCACACCTCGAGCAGCGTCTTGCTGTAGTCCATGGGGAACCCGCGGCCGTCGGTGGACAGCCCGACGAGCCCGTAGATCTTGTCCCGGGGGTCCTTGGACAAGGCCGAGGCGTGGTTTTCGAGGAGCTGGCGCAGCGAGCAGCTGCCGTCGTACTTGTGCCTTCGGAGCCGGTCCAGACGCAGGGGACCTACACCGTCGTCTTGGTCGGCCCCGTTGTGCTGCCGGATCCACGAGATGAAGGCGTCCCACTCGGCGGGCTCGCGGCCGAAGCAGAGGTGAATCCGTCGTGCCTTGCCAATCTCCTGCAATATCCACACGCGCTGCCAGTAGGCGTCGGCCATGACCCTGTCTCTGATGTCGGCGTTGGGCTCGGCGCCCGGCGAGTCGGGCCCCAGGTCGATGGGCAGGTTAATGTATCGGCCGCCCAGCCACACGAGCGTCGACTCTGCGCGCGCGTAGATGTGCGGCATGATGCGCAGCTGGCTGCTGCGCTCGGGGGTGTCTCTCTGGTTGATGCAGATGGCGTCGATCCAGAGGGCCGCCCGGCGCGCGTGGGTGCGGAAGTACTGCAGCGCCTCGAACAGGTTGGCCGTCACGTACAGTTCCGCGCCGTCGACGACGATGCTGCGCCGGCAAGACTCATCGCCCCAGCGGTACGAGAGCGTTTCGTACCGCGGGCGGCGCGCAAAGGTTGTGGTCTGCAGCTGGCATGAGAGGAGCCCGTCGGGCGTCAGCTCCGGGTCGATGGTGACGAGGCGAATGCCGTCGGCCGCGGCCTCCAACGGGCGGCTTGCGTATGGTTCATCGATGCGCGATGGTGACGATGCGTGTGCAGAGATGGTTGTTGGCGAGGACAACACGGTCGTGGCCATGGCCCCCCTTTTGGCTGACGAGGAGGTTAACGACGGGACGATTTTGGCCGAGAGGTGACGTCGGGGATCCAAGCCAGGGTCCGCCCCGCCGGGGCTGAGGTGGTGCACTAAGCCAAAATGGGACGAGATGGGTTAGGGTTACGGTCAAAGGCCAACCTCGTCTTGCTAGCTTGGACTTTTAATCAACCTCTTCCTACCCCTACCTGTTTTTTAGCGATGCATACCTCACTCACTCCCGCCATAAGCTCGGTCCGCGTAACCATTCTAGCTCACTGGTGACTCAAGTTGGCCCCGATGCCGCCGGCGGAGCGAGGGCTTTGGGTAAACTCACGTCTTCTCAAGAGAAAAGAAATACAACAGGACAACATCTTGTCCCCCATGATTCGTCGCCCATCTCTACTCTGTCGGTTGTGAGATGTGAGATATGAGATGAGTGATTCTTGGGGCGCTTGTTCTCGTCAGATGGGATCGACGGTGAGATGGCGTGTGTGTGACGTCTAGCAGACAGGTCACAGCAACAGTCAAGGCGATTTGTGACGACCTTCAGCCCCCTACATGTCATCTTTGGATTTGTGGCCTAGGTGAAGCCGGGTACTCCGTACTGTGGTGATCCAAGACAAAAGTGTCTCGCCGTCGCATCATGCCATGGCGAGTCCCTTGGGCTCCGACAACACAGCCATCCACAACACAACCGCTACACATGCGCACATGGAAGGACAAGGGGCCGCAAATGGTCTCATGCACCATCATGAAGATGGCAAGTGAAGTGCTAAACGTGCAGCATCTCATTCTGCATACCTACTGTGCTACACATCATGATTGATTGGATGGCTGAGCGACGATCGAACAGAAGTAGCGGTAGGTCGGGACAAGGAGAGACTCTTGATTTCATATATGAAAGAGTGGAATGATGCTAAACTGATACTCTGAAGCTCGGTTGGCTGGTAGATGACATCATACTTTGCCTGCTTTGAATGAGCGACTTGATGTCTGCTATTAGCAGAGAGCAAATTCCTCGTCATCGAGGCCAAATACTCTCCACACCGTTCGCCCGTCGTCTCTCACTGGCGCAGCTGCAGTATTCTGCGCAGGAGGTGTGAAATGGAACGCACACCATCCCCGAATACTCAATTAAACGTGGCAATTTTCTCGCCCATCTTGAAATGCCGACCCGACGGATTCTCGACAAACGTGACATGTTTCTCAAAGACGACGACCACGTCGGATCCGCCAAACTGAAAGTACGATATCTCATCGCCCTTGGCCAAGGTAGTGCCCACTTGAGTCGTCATGACGACGGACGAGACCTGCGCCATGCCAATCGGCAATATAGCAACAAAGCCAACGTCACCGCCGTCAATTACAACAAGGCCGCGTGTCTGGCACCACTGGTATCCGGCGCGGTCCGGAGGGACAATACCCCTTTCCGGCCCTGATCCCGGCCCCGATCGCCGCCGAGGCAGCGGCAACGGCCTGATTGGCACCAGGCCCCCTCCCCTCTCGGATGAAACGTCAACCTCGAGGTAAACCTGGCCCTGGATGTTCTTAACCTCGAGCACCTTTCCGCCAACACAAGCATGTTGCCGATGATAGTCATTCGTCGAGAGGAACGAGTGCATGAATACGCCGTTCTGAAAGCGGTCCCTGTAGTCGCTGTCCTGCAGCAAGTCGCTCACCTTCCAAGAGATTCCCTTCAGCTTGACTTCAGCCGTGCCGTCGGAGAAAGTGACGACGCCGTTTACAATGTCCGCCCAGTTATCAAAGGTGGAATCTGCCGGCATGACAATGACCTTGGCATTGTTCGGCGCGGCGATGGGCCGAGAGCCAGGCTTCAGATGCCGGGCGAAGAATTGATTAAACGACTTCCAGCCGCCGCGCGGTTCGAGCCATTGAGACGCCCCGTCATTGTATTTGGGATTCTCGTAGAATGTCTCCAGGGTCTCCGTCGTGAGGGATTCCGGACGATCCAGGAAGCTCCCCATTTGCTGGGCGTAGTTGACAAGCCAGTAGGACATGAAGGTCAAAGGGCCGCTGGTGTTGTCGGGATCCAGCTCGCTTTGATAGTCGCGGACGCTGGGCTGCTCAAAGACCCAGTAGAAGACGCACAACTTTTGGAGGACTTCATCCCCGGGGCCGTCGACCCTTGGCACCCAGTGCAGGAAGTCGTTGATGTAACGGAAAAAATCGGGCAGATTGTAGATTTCTTGACGGTTCATGTCCTCCTCGGCGCGCTCGCGAGCAGTTGTGATGGCCGTCTCGAAGTTGTCCTTCCATCCATTTCTTCCATTGACAACGTTGATGAAGTCTTGAACAAGGGGGTCAACCTGATGAAGAGCCATTGCTTCTAGTAATCAATGATGGATTAGATTGAAAAAGGCCACTTCGGATACATATAGCTGAGAGGTTATGGGCCCTCGGGATGAGTTGAGAGTTTCTGCGTTGGTACTGGTGACCCTGGAGAAGACGTCTCTGAGCAACTTATATGGCCGGTCGAGACCAGCACAGTCACATTTCTACACGTACACCGATTTCAGTCACGTACGACAACGTACGACACGTCAGCATGTGTGCTCTACTGTGGAGGTGCTTTGATGCAATGCAATGCCGGGGATAACTGGCTTGCTGACATGGAGGGCCGGGCCTTGGAGACGACGGCAGTTTGTTGCCGAACGCCACATCCGATACAGACAAGAATTGCGCCCATTGAAAAGCCCATCTGTGTCTTGTGATGGACCGTGTGGACAGGACCGTCCCCACGGACAGATGCACGACCGGTTCCACGGCGCCAATCCTGGGTTGTCGAGTCATTGATGGCTTCTTGGATGCAGCCGTACATGTAGCCATCGACTTGGACTCATCATCCCCGCTTCAACTCTGGGGTGTGAGGTGGTGAGAAGCGTAAACACATGGAGGCATACGACTGCATGTCAACTCACAACTGTCCTTGTCTCTTGACAAACACGCCAATATCATGAACATTGGCGATTAAAATCAAATCTTGAATCTGCGCGACGAGTAAACTTTGCAGTCTGTAGTAAATTATTTAATCGCTCTCTGGACCTTGCGTAGCTCCTTTTTACACTTCATGGCCTTCCATCTTTACTACCGCCGTCTCTGGTGATTAGGTTGTCCTGTGTGGCATCTGGCGGGCCCGGGTTGACTTTAATACCGTAATTAAATTAGGGAACAGGGTATAACTTATATTCAACCGGCTGTAATACATGGTGCGTTAATTCTGCAACCTAGGCATATCGCCGAGGCAGAAATTCTAATTAACGGCGTGAGGTGTAAACCGTGCACAGGATATTGCATTAATATACAGCACAGCCTTGCGTCATGCTACGAATTAGCTCGTAATAAGTCTAGAGTTTTAAAAAAAGGTCATTTGGGATTATTGTAATAATATTATTAGTGGTATAAAGAATAGAATTTTTATCTCTCTAGCAGACAAAAAAAAACAAGGCCTACATGGTCGGTGCCGTGACAGGAAAATCAAATTCAAACACAATTCTCTTAGATTCTCCTCTTTCCGATTACTCGCACGTCCCTGTGCTTGCCATGTTCTTTCCCTTTACCACTCGACGCCCACCACCGGCAATGCAACTGCGTCGTCGCAAGTGGGAGTTACAGCTTGGAACCCCTTCATCGACGGCGCCGAGATGGGCACGGGTCGTCGCCAGTGGAAGGCGGGCTGCCGCCACTAGGAGTGGGATACTTCTTCACATTGGCAAATAAAACTTCCACCCTTTTGAGGAAACTGATCTTGCTATCGGGGCTGACAGACTTGTGCTCCTCCAAATCGGTCAGCGCAGGCGTGGCAGCGTCAGCCACGAGCGGATCGGCCTTTTTGGAGCCTTGGATCACCACCACCTCGAGCTCCTTGATGCTGAGGGCCGAAGCGATGCAAGTACCGTCGCAATCGAGAGTAGGGAGCGTAGACGCCTCCTTCTTCGGGACAGTGGCAACGGAATCCTTGAGCGGGACGGGCGCACTGATGGCGGACACGATGGTGAACTCGTCGGGCGTGGTGAAGTTGCAAACGGACTTGATCTCGCGATATTCAGTCACGACTTGCACCTCATACTCTACCCAGGGGCCCGTGACGGTGCCGTCTTCCAGCTTGGCAGAGGAGTAGTATCCCAGGTGGCCCGTAATCTCATAGGTGTACTGTGCAAGGTCCACCTCCATGGTTGTGGTCTCGGGGTATTTCTTGCCATTCAGAGTGAAGCTTCCAATGTTCTGCGTCTTGGGGCGGTTCGTGTAGTACTGCTCGACGGGCACAGTCTTGTTGGTGTTACCGGGACCCTTGGGGAGCTGGTCCCAGCATTTCCATCCGTGAAGCGTTTCGTTGCGGTTCTGGCACGTAGTGCCGCCAATAGCACCTTCGACATATGTCCACATGTTGGTCTTGGGCACAGCGTCCTTTTCAAAGGCCTCGTAACCCGCGGTCCATCTCTGCAGGTACCAGTCGTACTGCTCCTTGGAGAGGTGGCCATGGCTCTTCTTGCAGGCGAGGCAGCCTTGAATATCGAGGAAGTAGGAGCTGCCATGTCCTACCAGGCACTTGTGGTAGGCTATACGATTCGCTTCGGAAGAATTGCTCGACAGATGCGTGATAATTTCGCACTTTAGGGCAATGGCCTGCTCGGCAAGACAAGGGGGAATAATCTTTTCACCCCCAAGCGCGTAGGTGCCTGGCGGGTGACACTGGTCGCCAATCTTGGCCCCTCCTGCAATTCGACCGGCAATGTCCTTGTCCTTGAGGACCTGTCTCTTGATGACGGAGGCAGAGGCGACGTCAAGAATCGCCAACGCGGCGGTAAGGACCGCGGAATTAAGAAGCATTTTTGAAATAAAGCCAAAGATTCAAAGATAAAGGAGCGAGAAAGAAGATTGGTAGTCAAAGACGACTCAAAGCTGAAAAGACTGGTCGGGTTGAGGTTGAAGACAAGAATTAGTTACTCGGTGGGTAGATGAAGACTTATATACACTTGAGAGGA